TTGGTGAGGGGTTGAAAAAGGGGACCAAGGGGGCAGTGGCGTTGCAGTAGGCGGTGGCAGTGGTGGATCCGGAAGGAGGAGACCTCCTTTAGGATCGACAGACAAAGGAACGACCAGTGCCAGTACTAGTGCTCCCGCATGTGGGGTGACTGCAAAGGATCCCATGTCGGCGTTAGACCCCTCTCTGTTCGTTCCTCAGGACGACACCAGACAACAGCAACTGCAGAGCGCCCGGGAGGTGTGGAAATATTTTATACAGGGTCAAGAAGCCGTGCCGAAGGGTCGAGGAAAGTGTTGGCTGAAGTGCCGGTTATGCACGCAAATTTGGAGGGGCACGAGCACAAGGGCAATGGAATATTTCATGAAGTCGTTGAAGCCGTGTCCGCTGAGGACAGGGGAGATAGTACACAAACTCGTGCTCGCCGGCGCGAAGGTGTTGGCGAGCGACAAAAAGACAAAGTACCTCCTGAAAAACTACAGCCAGTTGCACGACATTCCGGGGGGGGGGGGGGGGGGGGGGTTCTATGGACACTCAGGACGTGGAGCCTGTCGTTTGCGGGTACGAGGAGCCGCAACCACCACCTGCCGCAGGGATGGCACCACCGAAAACAGCTCCCCGAACAGAGTCGGTCGACGCTGCAAACGAGGGGCTTGCGGAAGGTTCGGGGTCAAACACGAGTGCGGCATCATTGCACCAGACAACAATCAAGAGATGGGTGGACAACACTGCACAGCAGAAGCTGGACATTGCGTGGGCGGAGGCAATGTTCCGTGCTGGTATTGCATTCAACTTCCTGAATTTCGACATGACACAGAAGCTCCATGGTCTACTTGGAAGTGGCAAATGCGCGCGACCATAGGTGAAGTTGCCCTCATGAACTCTGATGCTGGACTTCATCTACTTGCGTATTCAAAAGCAAGTGCATCCTTTGGCAGCCTGTTGGGAGGAATCTGGCTGTACATTCATCACGGACGGGTCATCCGACCGTCGAGAGCGCCCTGTGATGAACTTCTTGGCAGCAGGGGAGAAAGGTGCGATTCTGGTGGCCACAGTATCAATGACCGGAAGGAAGAAAACAGCACAGGCGTTGGCCAGGTTGTGGGAGAAGATTATGAGGGAGATAGGGGTGCATCGCATCAACGTAATCTGCACCGACAATGCCAAGGTGAACAAGAAGGCTGCTCAGATTCTGCAGCGCCGCATTGATAAAGACATTGCAAGGATTCCATGGGTTCCTTGCGCTGTGCATTGTTGCAGCCTTTTGCTGCGAGATGTCAGCAAGCTGGACTGGGCGAAGGGCACCGTGAAGAGAGGCCACACAATTGTGAAGTTTATCCGGAACCACCACCACAACCTGATGATGTCCTACGATGATTCCCTGTCATTGCTTCGGCTCACGAAAGTTTGGTTCGGGTCAATGTACATGATGTTGGAGAGGCTTCAAAATAGGAGGGCAGTGTTGTCGGATATGGTGGATCGGAAAAATGCAGCACGGTGGACGGGGATGCGTTGGTCCACTGCAAAGTTGAAGTCGAAAGTGGACCTGGTGTACTTCAGCTTGAGGAGAGACGGTTGGTGGACGGAGTTGAAGAAGGTGGTTGACGTGATGGAACCGTTGTACAGCCTTCTGAGGAGGATGGATCGGTATGGAACAGTGCCAACAAACCTCGTTGAGTATGACGACATGATTGAAAGGAAACTTGCTCACGTCGTTCTCACAGAGGAGCAGCTGGCGAGCGTCATGGACAGAGCCAGAGATCGTGTGAAGATGATGCTGCAACCAGTCCATGCACTGGCGTTTCTTCTAGACCCGCGAAGGAGAAATCCGCGGTGGCTTTAGGATCGGGACGGTGCTATTGTGCAGAACGCGATGCTTTACCTGCGGAGACAGGCTGGGGGTGAATGGAAAGGGCCAGACCACCTTGAGGTTTTGAGTGACCTGCACGAGTTCCACAAGGAGCCCACGCCGAACGGGCCCAAGAGAAAGGACACGAAGATGTGGGAGCCCGATGCCAAGGCTGATTGCGAGAAGCTGACACCGACCGAGTGGTGGGAAACTTACGGCGGCGATGTCCCCGTCTTGCAGGCCATTGCCATCAAAGTGCTAGGCATGTGTAGTACGGCTACCCCAGTGGAGAGGAATTGGTCGTCCATGGATTTCGTGCATTCCAAAAGGAGGAACAGCTTGAAGCCCGAAACACTGGAGAAGTTGGTATACATCCACTGGAACAAGCAACTACTGCATGCTGCAAGCAACAGTGGTGGCAACGGCGCGGGCTATGTTGATTTGTGGAGTTCGTTCTTCGAGGCTATTCCCATGACGGATCTATCTTGAGGGGCCCCGAGGAGGAAGCTGAGAAGACGGACGAGGAGCTGGTGCGGCAAAGTAGCTTCGTGAAGACACCAAAGGGAAGGATTCCAAAGAAGCTGGAGGACGAAGAGGACAAGTGCACAGATGACAGTGACTTGGATGATGAGCTGTGGAAGGGGAAGTGTGGATTGTCGGATGAGTCTAGCGGCGCAGAGGAGGAGGAGGATGAAAGTGATTCCGATTTTGAGCTGAGAGCTTGGTCCCGGGCACAGTATGTTGGCAGGAGAGCAGCTGCACGGCGTCGGAGAGAGGAGCAGCCCACGGCTTCTACACAGGCCAGGGGGGGAAGCTCATCTCAATACCATCCTCAGTCTGACGTCGAGTTCCATCACTTGGACACGGACGTCGAGTTGCTGCTGCACAGTGCCCCGGTTGATGAAGACGAGGCGGAGGCCGACTGTGTGAAGGCATTAGCAGATCGTGATCGAGGCCGTCCTAAAACGGATCATGGAGGAGGATGCCCGGCGTGCAGCTATCCCAACTTGGAGGGAGATTGAGAGACGCAAGAAGAAGGTTGGGGAAAACAAACTGGAGACGCGTCGGCCATTGGACGTTGTACAAGAGGGAGAAGAGGGTAAGCAACAGCGAAGTGAAGCGGTTGTGAAGGTGGTGGAAGTCGCACTCCAAGAAGAGGGGAACGAGAAGGTGCAGCCAAAAAAGGCAGAGGAGGCCGACCAGCAAGAGGCGGAGCACCATAAAGAGGCGGAGGAGAAGGACCAGCAAGAAAACAAGGACGCCATGGAGCAGCAAAAAGAGGCGGAGATTGAGCACGAAGAAGAGGACAAGGAGATGGGGCATCACGAGGACGACGAGGGGATGGAGAGTCAAGGAGAGGAGGCCGTGGAACAGCAAGAAGAGGCGGAGGGCATGGATCAGCAGGACATGCAGCACAACGTGTATGAGAAGGACGGCGAAGAGGAGCACCTGCCTGCAGTGAAGACTGTGAACACGCGTAGGCAAAGACCGGTTGTGTCCGCACAGTCTGTCGAGAACATACCCGACTTCCCTCCCAGCAATGACGCTGTCCAACATGACAACCTGTGGGTGACCAGGGTGGGGAGGAAGAGAAAGGAACCGATGGAGGATGCTGCTGCGAATCCTAAACGTGCTCGTGGCAGGCCCCGCAAGCCGAAGACCGCTGAACCTGGTGCAAAAAAAAAGAGAAGGATTTGCCAGCGCAAGGCTCGCATGGAGGTGGTGGAGGATGACCCCGATTCAGATAACTGCAGTAGACGGTCATCTGAATTCGAGGGAAGCCACTCCAATCGGGAATGAGGTTGCTCTGTGTGTGTGTGTGTGTGTGTGTGTGTGTGTGTGTGTGTGTGTGTGTGAGAGAGAGAGAGAGAGAGAGAGAGAGAGAGAGAGAGAGAGAGAGAGAGAGAGAGACTCTTGTAATCTCGAGGGAAGCCACTCCGATCGCGAATGAGGTCGCTCTGTGTAAGTGTGTGTGTGTGTGTGAGAGAGAGAGAGAGAGAGAGAGAGAGAGACTCTTGTAATCGATTGTGGAGCAACGTGGACGTGCTTTCTCTCCAGGCTTGTTTCTTTGTTTTTCGGTCTTGTCATCCCCGTAGTCTTCTTCTTCTTCTTCTTCTTCTTCCTCCTCCTCCTCCTCCTCGTCCTCTTCTTTTTCTTCTTCCACATACACCTGCAAGGTCTGTGACATACCAGCACTGACCCCCCCCCCCCCCCCCCCCCCCAACCAACCGAAGTTCACTTTTTTTCTGCAGATTCGGGGTCCTCTAGGTGGGGCAGCACAACCCCGCATTCAAAAAAAAAAATAAAAAAAAAATCCTTGCTGTGTTTTTTCGTCGCCCAGTTTCGCCGGGCGGACCCCCCAGGGTCCAACTGGCCGGGCAGCAGCCCAGCCTAGGAAAAATCTGAAAAAAGTTATGTATACTAGATGACCTGTTGCGGCTTCGCTCGCAAAAGCAAATGCGTCAGGTGATGCATGGTGGGGGGAGGCAACCGACCGATGGAAAATCTCTCTCTCTCTCTCTCTCTCACTCACACACACACACACACACACACACACACACACAGAGAGAAAGAGAGAAACCGAAAAAACTTGTGGTGGCGTTTCGCACCTTTAGCAACCCCCCCCCCCCCCCGCCCCCCCCCGGACTTTCCCCCTAACGTTTCCTCTTCTCCCTCCTTTCCCTCCTCTATGTTTTCCCCTCCTCTGCTCGTCCTTCCCCTCTCTCCCCATCCTCCCTCTCCTCCTCCATCTCTTTCACCCTCCCTACCCTCCCTACCCTTTCGGCCTTCACCTCCTTGTATCTTCCTGCTGTTACTTTTCCTCCTCCTCCTCCCTCTCGTTCCTGCTGTCCTCGTCGTTCTTCCTCCTCGTCCTCTATCCGCGATCCTTCCCCGCGTCCTCCCCCCCCCCTTCCTCGTCTTTCTCCCCCTCCGCCCCCCCCCTCTCTCTCTCTCTCTCAATGTATGGAGGGAGAAGCGAAAAAAAGTAAAAAACGAAAACAGATCTCTCTCTCTCTCTCTCACACACACACACACACACACACGATCAATGTATAGAGGGGGAAGGAAAAAGAAAAAAGCGAAAACAGATCACCCTCTCTCTCTCTCTCAATGTATGGAGGGGGAAGAAAGAAAAAAGAAACTCTCTCTCTC